TTTCTTTCAGCTGGTGGAAAAAAATGGAGTTTGATCTTCCAGTTTTACTACAAGTTTGGAGTTTGATCTTCCAGTTTTACTACAGCATGGATTTGTTTTTCCTCGTACACGGATTGCATGGTAGGGGGTGGCTGTTGTCTAAGCAACTTCTTTGTGATGGAATCCTATAGAGAGAAAGGAAAAAAGAATCCACTCACTCTCCCGCTTTTGTAATCTCGTTCCAGGGTTTTGGCATCATCTCTCTCTGTATCTGTTGTGCAGTTTAGAGAACGTTTTACTCTGCCTTTGCTATCTTTATGCCCTCATGGGCTCCTCTGTAGGTAACACCTCCTTCTTGGATCAAGTTCATTTTGTTTGCTTTCCTCCTGAACCCTTATCTTCTTGGTTAAATAGAGTGCTGAAATAGTTGGCAAACTTTGGGCATCTTTAATTATCATTAGCAAATTGTTGAGAACACAGTGGACAATTGACGGTCTGGTCTTCAGAGTGCCATTAAAAGAGATTAGAAAAGGCTGTTTGTGTGCGTTGTACAAATTTGTTTGTTTTCAAGCACTGAGAGTATAATGAAAATGTCCCAGCCAGGCTTAGCTGTTGCCGTAGTACCAGTCAAAGCCTGGGACATACGAGTGAGGCATCGTTTTTCTGGGTTACCCAGGACCTCTGGGTTACTGCAGCTGGCCCTTCTGAGCAGAACGCTCACAGGGCAAATTAAAGCTGAGTGCAGACTGACCGCCCTACCTCTCCTCAAACCTGCCCAGGAATGTCTGCATGGCAGTTGCAAATGGATTAGGAAGCTACTTGTATATAACGACATCACTTAATTATATAAATCAATAATGTACAGGGCAAATATCTCAGGTGGATAAATGCATTACCTCCAGCAAAGATCAATAACAAGTGCTTTAGTTAAGAATACAAGAAAAAATAATACAGTCTCAAACATCCTCAAGAGAAGTTTCAGTTGGAGGTAATGAGTGCTGAGCCTGTTCTCATACGCAGGGGGTTAGGTCTTTCAAAGTGTTTGTTTTGTCTAATATAAAAATACATTCTTATTTTATTATGTGCAAGAACTCCTCTAAACATTTGGTGTCAGTAATGTCTTATGTCTGAGGAGTTTTTCAGGATAAATCTCCCGGCACCAGTGTGTGTAGAGATAGTGTGGTGAAACAAGGGTCAGAAGGATGGGGCCCTGCTGCTGGCCATAAGTCTTCTGGCTCAGTCTAAATTGCTGTGGAAAGCTCTTCTGGTTATGTGTGTCAAACCGGAGAGGTGCTGGAAACATCCTTCACGCTTTGTAGAAATTCATCTGGCTTTTCTCTTTGTGTTACCCACGTGTTTCTCACAATGAATTTGTCACTCCGTTTTTGGATTCGCACATGAGTTTGAAATATTGAAGTGGAGCTTGACAAAATGTCTTAGATTTCTCACTTTCATCAAAATTCTGAGTGGTGGTATTTCACATCAATGATACGTTCTCTGAGGCTTCCTTGGAAATGTGCTGACCCCTGGCAAACGCTTACAAACCTGCTGATTTCAGGCTTCTCAAGAAGTCTGGTGGGTTTGATATGATGTCTCATAGTATTTTGCTGAAAGTTTCACAGTTGTCTTGCTTGTACGGATATCATCATCCAAGCTCTGCTTAGGTATATATTTTAGTGTAAGGTAGAAGTAGTGGCTGTCTGGAGAGGGTTTCCAACTCCTCTGGCAAAATACACTCTTTGCGCTCCGGCATTGTGTTTTGCTTAGCTCAGCTGCCTAATGTGTGTTGCCACAGTTCATTGTATGAGACAGCTTGGATATCAGAACCATCTACTCCTGCATTTCCCCACATTGAAAATGTTAAGGACTGTTTTTGACAGAGCTGAGAATTATGCTGGCTGTACAAACCACCAAATGATTATTTACATCACTACCTGCTATTATAAATAGCACCTGAAAGACCTTACATATTAGAGACTGAGGATCTCCTTGCCAAAAGATGTTGTAGAGGCTAAACTTTCACATGTGTTCAAGGGAAGATTGGAGAAGTTTGGGAAAGAGAAATCCAGCCAGGGTTACTAACCATAGAAAATGCCCCTCTGACTTGGGAAGTTCCTGGGCTGAAAATAGCTGGAGACTGGAAGAATTCAAGGGAAAAGTATTATATGCGTGTGTGCTCTGTCTAGCAACTGTCATGGTCACTGTTGATGCTGGGATGTTTGCTTAGGTAGGTGTTCACTGTGATCCAATGCAACTAACATTATTATGTTTTATATAGAACTTCTTTCTATTAACCTATTTTTCTCATAACCTGACATTTTAGTTTTAGCAAATACTGAGTTATCAGATGATTTGGGTACGGCTTGGGATATTTCTGTTCAGAGCTGAATGAACCCTTTGAAGCTGCAGACCTTTGGACATACAAGTGAATCTAGATTTGATGCAAAATTTTTACTTCCTTAAAAAGTACTGTACTAGTGCAAAAAATAATGTTTGGACTTAGTTTCCCACAAATTATGCCGCCTCTCCTGTGTGGCTGCTATGCTTTGGGCTCCAAGGGAAGTCCCTGTGTGAATCCTACAGCAACAGTTAACAAAGCTACTGTCCACAGCTCTGTGCCCTGGAAGGGCAGCAGATAACAAATGTTGGGCATATCTTTTAGCCCCTTGGCCGGCCTAATATTAATTGATCCATTGATTAAACCAGATTTGAGTAGGATACCTGACTACCTATTGCAGTGGCAGAGGTGAGGGCACGTTTCCCCTTTGCTGACCTCCTGTGCAGGCAGTGACTTCCAGCAGCGGATCTGAGTAGCTGCTGGTCAGCGTGTGCTAGCTCTGCTGGGACAGCAGCTGGCCTCTGGGAAACCACAGCGAGAAAGGTGGTAGAGGAGGGAGAACAAAATGCTGACCTGATGGCATGATGAGGCAGTAACAACATATATGAGAATTTAAGTTTTTGTTGACTTCATGTGGTTGGTTTATGCAGAGAAACTGTAACTATCAAAGTAAGATTCGGAGGCAGGAAGAAGGTTCAACAAAAACAGGTTGAGAAATGTGTTTTTGTCCATTCCTGCAGGTCTTCAGCCCCATTGCTGCAGCATATTTTTGCCCACACTCTGATGGAGCAGAGTGGTCGTTTCACGTGGTGCTACACATGATGCTGTTCTTCAGTCCTTCCTCTTTTTTGACCCCCTAATCAATTTTTTCCACTTTCATTTGGGAAGAAAGAAAAGGTTGGGGGGGAGGGAGAAGCAATTTCTTTTTAATTGCTTGTTTGTCCTTGTCTACTCTCCCATCCTTTCAGATTTCTCAGAGCAGGGTTGGGGGTGTTTTGTCTCTCTTATTTTCACTGGTACCGATGGGGAAGAATGACATTTTCTGCTTGGATGGAAACCAATCACTTCCCCAGACCCCCTTGAAAAAGCTTAATTTGCTCAACTAGTCAGTATTCCGTCTTCGTTAAAAAGTCCCAGACTGGAATTTGGATTTAATCCTTTGACTCACGTTTTTCCTTCTCTCCCCTGTCTTCCACATTCCCACTTACACTTTCCAAAGTACTTTCCTCACCACCTTTTTTTTATTACCGTGCACTCAAGTTACCCTTAGCTCAGGAGCAAAAAGGACAAAAAAAACACCCCACAAACAAAAGCAAATAAAAAAGCCCCTCACCAAAGTAAATAAATAAGTAGACAGAGAAAACAGGCTGCTAGTTCGTTTTCTTCTGCCTTTCCCTTAAGGCATGAGGTAATGCCAAACTATTCAGTGTGTGATGCAACTGCCTGATGGACATTCAGAGAATCCCAGCAGTGGCAAAAACAGAGTTTACCCAAGCGCGAGTTGGCAGTGAGACCAATCTCTCCAACAAGAGGCTATTTAAAGCCACAATGTGATGCATTTTTAACATTTTTATTCAGCACAGGATTTAATTGCTCACTGACAAACCACCTAGACGTTTGTGCCTGGGTGTTTGTGACTGGAATCGTTTGCTATCTGTGTGTTGTTTCAGAGCTGTTCAGTTGTCGACTGAGAGACCGAGGCAGGAATGAGAATTTGTTGCCTTAGCACTTGCTGTCTGAGATGGGTCAGGAAGGGTTTTACCCTCTGGTCATGTCTTGCCTCTTCCATTTTTCTCCAGTTATTTCTTCCCAGCGACCTTTCCCCTTTGACCAGCTTGCTCGCAAAGGGTGGTGGTGAATGGGGTGTGAAGATGTACTTGGCTGTGTTGGCCCCACCTAGAAATGAGAAGCTGTAGCACGGAGAGGTCAAATGTCGTGCTGCAGGATGCAGGAATAATCTGTGACAGATCGAGGAATAGCCGCGGTTCCTGACTTGGAGCCACCAGGATGACTTGGCTGTGCAGATGAGCTCTGCGCTAGCCAGCAGCAGCACAGCCATGGCACAGCCTACCACCAGAGCTCCACAGCTTGCTCTCAGTCTGTGCCCCTATGGATTAGGCTGTTACCGCATCCTCTGTAGCTATTTCATGATAGCTCATGTATATCCAGTGTTCCAAGCCTTGAACGAATGTCACTACATGGCAGAAATATGTTGCATATGCTCCCCATCGACGGCACACTACGATCCTCTGTGCATCACCTGCACATTTCTGTCTTTAATTCTTACCCGCTTCTTCAGAAGTCCTCAGGTTGGGTTAATTCTACCAATTAAAAAGCACAAGCACTTAAGAAACGAACTGCATCAAAGCTATGTTGTCTCATAGGACTCAAAGGCATATTCAAGCCCTCTGCTGAGTTGGGGCCTTGATGTCTGCCGAATGTTCTGACATCCTTGGACCGGAGTAGCTCTGTGCAAGTCAGTGAAGGACGATGGAGCTGCACATGCAGCTCAGCAGCTTTACTTCATTAGAGCTATCCAGGCGAGTGAGCCTTTGCAATATCTTTTCAGAGGTATCAGCGGCAAGCTGGTATTTCCAGCAATTAAAGCCCAAAAGTAACCTGTTTGTTTACTAGTGTGGGCTGGTGGCAGTCACTGTGTCTTGCAGTGCCTCAGTTTCCCCACCTGCGCAATGGCAGCAGTGGTGGTTGTCTTCCTCTGCGAAGCCCTGGGAAGCGGCGGGTGCTCGGCTCCCTGCAGGCAGGCGCTGCTGGATCCCAGGAGGTCGCTGGGGGACTGATCATCCGTGTGTAGCGGAGACGGGAGGAAAGTCCAAGAAATCGCAGGCAGTCCCACACCCGGTAGCCTCCCTCCCATCACGACACAACTTCTGGTACTCTTTGCTTAAGTATTAATTAACAAATGAGCCAATCCAGAAGCACTTAAATGATTGGCTTGGGTGGACTGTCCGTTCCCTTGAGGCTTCTAGGCTCTTTTTTTCTTTTTTCTTTTTTCCTTTTAAATGAAGGCAACGTGTTAAATGTGGTGACTGTGTTGACATTGCACAATATAGAACCACCCGCTCCTGTATCGGGTCCTTTCGCTGCCTTTGCATAGGAAGTTACTGCAGAAACATGTTGCCGGGACGTTGCACTTTATGCCATCTCGTTGTGTGGCAGGAGTCCAGGCCAGCACCCGGGAGCGAGTCAATGTATGAGATTAGTTTAATCCTCTCTCAGAATCCTCTGATGGGGAGGGGAAGGACAATGACCTAGTGCCAGCGTTTATTTTGTCCACAAGTTCGGTTTGAATAGGGAGGAGAAGGTGGTGGTGGTGGGGAAAGGAGAGAAAAAAACCTTCCTGGAGTTCATTGGGTCTGGAGTGGTGCCAAGCCCGGGGGGTGGCTTGAGAATGGGGAGGGAAGAAAAGGGGGGAAAGAAGAGCGGAATGATGATTAGAAATCACAAATGAAAGAATCCCGAAGAGGGGGGAGAAGAAAAAACAACAAAAAAAAACCCCTTCTCTGTTTCTCTGAATGTCTGTAGGGAGGAAAAAAATTCCTTGCCTTTTGTAAGGGTCCTATTCATTAGCAGATGCACTTGGCTCTGCTGCCAAGGGAAAAGGAGCACCCTGATCAGTCCTCCCCTCTCTCCTTGGGAGGCACCTACTGCCTCAAATTTGGTGTGAGAGAAAACACCATCTCTCCTGTGCCGAAGCTTCTTTTGTGCTCCTGTTTCTTGCAGGGCTCTTTGGTCTCTTTCTCCTTTTACTCCAGCCGCACCCTCACTGGCTTTCAAAGGTGGATGTGTATATGCGTTGGCAACTCTTGAGATCGTTGAAGACAGCTTCTCCAGTCTCCTTAGCCACGCAGAGTCACAGCGTGTAGGAACGTGCCCTCTAATGCCTCACCTGTGCATTGCTGTCAATGGGGAGCTGTTCCACGTAGACCCAGACCCCTCACGTGAAATCACCAATGCACAGGCTCCAAATCCAGGTGGGACTCCGAATTCTGTGAGGACTCCTGGATGGCTGGGCTGTTTGGATGTCTACATGGTCAGTCAGCCCCAAACCTGCGTTGTGTGCCTGCAAGCACTGGGGCTGGAAGACCCACGCTTGCCCCAGCGGGGCAGGGGCACGTGCTGGGCTGGGTGTGCACCACGGTGCAGTCTGGTAGCAGATCGCCTGAGCTTAGCTCTTTCTTCCTCTGCAGATACCTTCAATGTGAGCAGTCCTCAAGCGAAGCAGCAGCGGTGCGCCCGGGAAGGAGCAGGCTGCAGGGCATGGGTGCCATCCACAGCAGGCTTTGCAGGGGATTTAAGTGGCTGCTTTACAAGGGGGGCTGCTCCTGGCCCTACCTCTGCCACAGGAGCCTGTGTTAGAGCCAGGAGACATCTCCTCTGGTCTTACCTCTCTTGTGGAGCTATTTACAGTGCGTTTTACTCAAATTTCTTTTCTGCAGGACAACTGAGGAGCGTCCTGTACACAAGCCCCCAGGGACACCCAAAGAAAGTGCATCTGTAGCCTTCTGGGCTTAATAGCATTTTATTCTTCCTCTTTATGTGTCCTTGCAGCTATTCCAACATATTTAAAATAGGAAAGAGCATTACCTATATCCTGCTCTCTCCTTTATGCAAAAAGCAGCTTTTACATCAGACTGCTTTCCCTGGGATGCATCACTGTAGAGTCCCAGCCAGGCAAGGGCCACCGTTCCCCTTTGCTGAGCAGGTCTCGAGCCCCATCTCTCCCCACCGCAGCTGGCCCAGCCAGAGGTTCCATCTCCAGGGTTCGCTACTGGTGAATGTGCTCTTTTGTTTCTAAAGCGTGACGCTCTCTTTTCTTTCAAAACGCACTCGGGCAAGGTTCATCCTCCGCTTAATGCCGTGGCTTGCTGACTAAGGCGCACACCTTGGACACCTCTGCCTGCTGAGCATCCCAGCTCCTGCCAGGGACTCAGCTGGAAGGTCTCAGCATCAGCAGCCAGCTCCCATCTACCTCTCCTCCTAGATGAATCTTGCCTTCCTGGGTGCAACTTCAGCAGGGAAACTGGCATTTGCTGCTCTGTCAGCAGCAGCTCTGTCCCTGGATTCTTACTTTTTGGGCGTCGCGGCTATACGGCTGGCATGTGGAAAGCAATGCCTTCTCTCTGCTTCCCCGGGCAGTTTTGAAGGTCCCTGAGGGCAGTCTGTCTGTGTACGTGGGATGTGACCCTCAGCGCTGTTATGTCTCGTCACCAGCATCTGTGCGTCCCTTGGCAAGGCTTCTTGCGGTCCCTGTGGCTTCCCTGTCCATGCACCGAGAGCCCCATCTTGCGGCGTGACGTGGGCTCGCCCCGCACG